CAGGGCTATATGTCTCTATCCACCAGGTAATGTTAACTTGCAAAAGAGGCAGCAAAGAATAATGGAAAGGGGACTAGATTTGAAATCAAAGGATCTGGGTTCAAATCCTGGATCTACCTGATAACCTTGGACATGCTGGACCACTTTGGACCCCAGGTTCTTGTCTATAAAATGAGGGGGTTGTATTCATTGGCATCTAATGTCCATCCTGGCTCTAAAGCTATGAGCCTGTGACTCTGCAATTCAGACATCCCTTGTCTTGAGGGCCCTTGCAGCTCCCGCATTCCACAAGAAAGTAAATTCACCAATGCTGGGGCTCTGTGGGATGAGCTTCAAACCATACTCCCTGACTTCCAGGTGTTGGTTCTGCTCGGCTCCAAAGCCACATAGAACATGTGCTGTTTTCTGTGCTCTCAAGTCAAGAGCCTAGTGTGTAATGATGTCCTCCATGACTCAAGCATGGTGCTAGGGGACCTGAAGCCTTAGGCACTGAGAACAGAGACATGAACTGATGTTTCCAAAGCAATCTCAGGTTTGCCAAGAACTTTCTCTGTAGTGCTTTAGTCACATCACATGACAACCCTGTGAGGTAGGTACTCCACATATGGTTAGCCCTGTTCTACAGATGATGAAACTGAGGCACAGAAGTCAAGTGACTTGCCCAGGGTCACATAGCTAGTAAGTGCCTGAGGCAGAATTTGAACCCAGGTCTTCCTGACGAGTATAGCTCTCTATTAGCAATGCATGATGTCTCTGAGTCCTAAAGCCTAGAATATGGTACAGGGTGGTTACCCAGGGGTACAAAGGCTGCTGCAGAGAATGGTTAGTGCATTCACCAGTTACATGTATATGAAATGTAAACAGAATTTATATATGTATAGCTATATACACTTACAGATATATTTATAGAATATATTCATATATACATGTATATAGTTACATTCATGTTTCCTATAAATGAAATGTGAAAAGGATTTTATTTATATATATATATATATATACATATAGTTACATATACTTATATGTTATATATATATATATATATACATATAGTTACATATACTTATATGTTATATATCGTTATACATGTATGTTTCCCATATGAAATGTGAACAGGAATACATAGTTCCATATTTATATAATATATTCATATATACAGTTACATGTGTTTCACATTACGAAATGTGAATAGTATTATATGTAGCCATATATGACTCCATATATTTGTATACTATATAATTAAATGTATATGTTTAATATATGATGCGTACATGAGTATACACAGTAACATGCATATTTTGTGAAATATATATTATACACTAATATAATATATACAACACAGTTATGTACATAAGTTTCTTGTAGATGAAACATGAACAGTATTCCATATGTGTATACATAATTACATGTATTTATGTGGCTGCATATGTTTCATATATGAAATTTGAATAGGAATACATAGTTACACATATCTGTGTTCTCTATGTATATGGTTACATATGTTTTATATATATGAAATGTGTATATATGCATATGTAATTACATATATTACATGCTATAGTTCATGTATTTCATACATGAAATTTGAACAAGAATATACATAGTTACATATATTTATATCATATATCAAGTATATCCATATCCATATTCAGTTATGTGCATATGTTTCATATAAATGAAATGTGAAAAGGATTATACATGCATGTATAATTGTACATCTTTATATACAACATAGTAAACTATATGTTTCATATATGAAATTTGACTGGGAACACATACAGTTCCTTGTATATTTATATAATATATACATATATGCAATTGCACACATATGTTCCATATATATATGAAATGTATCTTTATATTATTAACACATCTATATATTAATATGATATCACTGTGTCATTATATATTGACATATATATTAATGAGATGGTCTTCTGTGGTCCTGGGTCAGTACTGGTTTTGTGAAAAGAATACTGGTTTTGGAATCAGAAGGAGGGATGAAGAGTTAGTAGACCTGTGGGGAATTCCCAGGTGAGGAACCTACCTCCACCAATGGAGAGGGCACCATTTTCTGGCAGTTTGCCGTGTTCAGGAGTGGCCCAGGACACAGAGGGGTGAGTGACTTGCCTGAAGTCACACAGCCAGTATATGTCAGAGAGAGGGCTTGAACCTGGGTCTTCCTGCCTCTTAGGTCAGCTCTCTGCCTTCTGGGCTCTAGACCCTGAGCAGCTGGATTCCAATCTCTGCTCTGCCACAGGCCCCCCCATGTGACCTCCCTGGGCCTCTTTATCTGCAGTTTTCAAATGAACAAATAGAACATAATCTTCTCTTAAGATTCATTCTTGCTCTCATTACACACACGAATAGGTAGACGGGACAGGGAAGAGCCCAACGTGGCCTGGGAGATCAGGTGGGAGTCAGACTGGGAGGCCTTCAGATGCCAGGATTTGTGTCTTTATCGGACGTGGTAGGTGATGGGGAGCGAATGTGGGTGCTTGAGCTGGAGAGTAGCCGATGGCATTGAAGCAGTCTAACTCGCCTCGCTTGGGTGGTTGGAGCAGAGCCAAGTCAGATGCTTCTACCCAGAAGGCCTGAGGAGGCTAAAAGGAAGCCTGGCCCTTTCATGGTAGGTGTGGTTCCGAGGACTTTGCCATGAATCGGTGTGGCAGAGCACCTCAAGCCTTGGATTTCAAGGCAGAAAAGACTACTGCCACCCACTTCTACCTGGTCTACATTTCCAGCCTTGGTTTCCTTTTCTGTACAAGGAGAGGGTTGGACAGGATGGCCTTGGAGGGCTGCCCAGCTCTAGAGCTCAGATCCCCAGGCCCCAGCTTCATCGGGCCATGCGTGACAGACCTGCCCACCCAGTGCTAAAAGGCCCATTTATCTCTCACCATTTCCAGGCTTCACACCAGAGATGGCCCCAGCTGTTTTCCCAATTACTTATTGATCGCCTGTCAGGGTGTTTTCTTTGCTGGTGGGTCACTGGAGCGTATACGACTCTGGCAAAAGGAAGGATAAAGGGTCCCCGAGGATTGGGGTCAGGTGGGGAAGGAGAAGGAATCAGGATGGAGAGGACACAGGAAAGAAGGACAGAAGCGGCCTGGCTTCCCACCCAAGCAGCCCCTGCTATTAACTATATGGATGACCTTGGCCAAGTCCTTTCCTGTGCTCTGGTCTCCATTTTCTCATCTTCAAATGAGAGGATGGGAATACTAGTCATAGAATCTTAGATGTAGAGCTGGAAGAAAATTAGAAGCTATTCAATCCAACCTTGCCATTTTGCTGATGAGGAAACTGGGGCCCTCAGAAGAGAATCATTTGCCCACGGTCACAGAACTATGAAGGGGCAGAAGCCGGCTTCAAACCCGAGTTAGCTGAACCCCAGTGGCTGCCTTTTTCACTAGCCCATACTGACTCTGTCTGGGGGAGAAAAGAGAGCCTCCCTCAGGGCTCTCTCTTTGGCTTCCAGTCCATCATTCTTTCTATCGATCCATGTGGCTTTAGGACCACCCCCATCTATGTATAGGGAGTGGCTATGGTGGACGTTGGCTTGTGCCAGGCTATACCCTGTGGAGTCAGATGTATAAGAAGGAGATCCTGCTCACACTTGACCTAGGGAGGTGGTGCCCACCCAGGGGAAACTGCACTAGTGAGGAAGTGATTAAGAGCTAAGAGGCTTAGAACTGTCAGTGGTCATTGTTCATGAAGATGTGGCTTCTCTTCCCCAAAGTGGCAAGTTTCTCCGGAATAAACAAGGGCCTGCCCCTGCCTTGGAGCTGCCGGAACATGTCACTGGCCCATGAGCCAGGGTGTTCTCCCCAGGTGTGTCAGCAAGATGTGCAGGATGGAAGGATGGAAGCCAGACAGAGAGCAGGATTTCATTAGATTCATTCCCACCCCATTAAGTGAGGATTCTCTTATTTGTGCCCTTTGTCTCACAAGATTGTGCACAGCTTCCACACTTTTGCATGGGGGATGACCCCAGGTGTGGAATATATTTCTCCACTCAGCTCCACTGCCAGGTAGAGCCTCTTTTACCTGCAAGGCTCAGTTCATCTACCTCCCACACAAGACCAAGCCAGATTCCCTTTGGGTTTACTTTAAATACGTGTGTGTGTGTGTGTGTGTGTGTGTGTGTGTACACATGTACACATGTATGTATGTGTATACATGTACACATACACACATACATACACACATAAGCTATAGATATAGATATATACATACACACTCCAATAGAACGGAAGCCCCTTGGGATTGGGGTACATTTCCCTTTTATCTTTGTATCTCCAGCACCCCCAGAGTGCCTGACGCATTGTAGTACATGTTCCTTGAAGCAGTCAATGGGAATTTGAACCAGGACATTTTTTATTAGTGGGAGCTGAATAATCCCTAAAATCCCATCATTTTAAAATCTCTATTCTTCCTCCTTCTGTCCATCCCTGACTTTGGGACCATGAGTGATGACCAGTCGATTGACATCTATTAAATGCCTGCTGTGTGCCAGCACTGTGCTAGGCTCTGTGTACAGAGGAAAATCCAACAGCCTCTGCCTTTGAAGAGCTCACATTCAACTACAATTCCTATAGAATTAGACACCAGATACAACTTTGCTGAGCTTCTGCTTCCTCAGCTGTAAGATGGGGTACTCAGACTTGTTTGACCTCTCTCTTGGGGTTTAGGAAAATTGAACAAAATAGCAAAAGTAGGAGTCTTTTTAATCCTGAAAGCATGATATAAATATTGCTATATTGTTTACTCCTGTGCCCCTTGAGGGATTCAGTAGAAAGAGTCCAAAGCCCTTGCTGTTGCTTACTACTTGTGTGATCACGGACAAGTCACTTCATCTTTTTAGGCCTCAGTTTCCTTCTTTGTAAAATGGGGGGGGTCTAGAGGGTCTCGAAGGCCCCTTATGCTCTAACTCTGCACCTCCTATCCGTCGCTGGTAGAATCTCTAACGCTGTGTCCTCTCTCTGTGTTTGCCTTGGCTGCAGGTGAGAGAGAGGATGATCGCCGGGGACGCTAGCATGCACACCCCCATCCTGGCCTGCTGGCAGCCCATCCTCCTGCTGGTGCTGGGCTCTGTCCTGTCCGGCTCGGCCACCGGCTGCCCGCCCCGCTGCGAGTGCTTGCCCCAGGAACGCTCGGTCCTTTGCCACCGTAAGCGGTTCATCGCTGTGCCCGAGGGCATCCCCACCGAGACCCGGCTGCTGGACCTGGGTAAGAACCGCATTAAGACGCTCAACCAGGACGAGTTCGCCAGCTACCCCCACCTGGAAGAGCTGGAGCTCAATGAGAACATCGTCAGCGCCGTCGAGCCCGGCGCCTTCAACAATCTCTTTAACCTCAGGACTCTGGGGCTCCGCAGCAACCGACTGAAGCTCATTCCCTTGGGCGTCTTCACGGGCCTCAGCAACCTGACCAAGCTGGACATCAGCGAAAACAAGATCGTCATTCTCCTGGACTACATGTTCCAGGACCTGTATAACCTCAAGTCCCTGGAGGTCGGGGACAACGATCTCGTCTACATTTCCCACCGAGCCTTCAGCGGCCTCAACAGCCTGGAGCAGCTGACGCTGGAGAAATGTAACCTGACCTCCATCCCCACGGAGGCCCTCTCCCATCTGCACGGCCTGATCGTGCTGCGGCTGCGCCACCTCAACATTAACGCCATCCGGGATTACTCCTTCAAGAGGCTGTACCGGCTCAAGGTTCTGGAGATCTCCCACTGGCCGTATCTGGACACCATGACATCCAACTGCCTCTATGGCCTCAATCTGACCTCGCTGTCCATCACTCACTGCAACTTGACCGCCATCCCCTACGTCTCAGTGCGCCACCTGGTCTATCTGCGCTTTCTCAACCTGTCCTACAACCCCATCCTCACCATCGAGGGGTCCATGCTCCACGACTTGCTCCGGCTGCAGGAGATCCAGTTAGTCGGGGGTCAGCTCATGATGGTGGAGCCCTACGCCTTCCGAGGACTCAACTACCTGCGTATCCTGAACGTGTCTGGGAACCAGCTGACCACGCTAGAAGAATCCGCTTTCCACTCAGTGGGTAACCTAGAGACGCTGATTCTGGACAACAACCCCTTGGCGTGTGACTGCCGCCTCCTCTGGGTCTTCCGGCGCCGCTGGCGGCTCAACTTTAACAAGCAGCAGCCCACGTGTGCCACGCCAGAGTTTGTCCAGGGCAAAGAGTTCAAGGACTTCCCCGACGTTCTCTTGCCTAATTATTTCACCTGCCGCCGTGCTCGGATCCGGGACCGCAAACCCCAGCAGGTCTTTGTGGACGAGGGCCACACGGTGCAGTTTGTTTGCCGGGCCGACGGAGACCCACCCCCCGCGATCCTTTGGCTCTCGCCCCGAAAGCACCTCATCTCTGCCAAGAGCAACGGACGGCTGACGGTGTTCCCCGACGGGACGTTGGAGGTGCGCTACGCCCAGATCCAGGACAACGGCACCTATCTGTGCATCGCTGCCAATGCTGGCGGCAACGACTCCATGCTGGCTCACCTGCACGTGCGGAGCTACTCGCCCGACTGGCCCCATCAGCCCAACAAGACCTTCGCCTTCATCTCTAACCTGCCCAACGAGAGCGACGCCAACAGCACGCGCACCACCGTGCCTTTCCCTTTTGACATCAAGACTCTCATCATCGCCACCACAATGGGCTTCATCTCCTTCCTGGGCGTGGTCCTCTTCTGCCTTGTACTCCTGTTTCTCTGGAGCCGAGGGAAAGGCAACACGAAGCACAACATTGAGATCGAATATGTCCCCCGCAAGTCGGACGCTGGCATCAGCTCTGCTGACGCGCCTCGCAAGTTTAACATGAAAATGATCTGAGACAGGGCAGGGGGCAGGGGTGTCCAGGGGTGCAGGAGGTGACCACCCCAGGCCCACAGGACATGAAACTTTGAGACTTAACACGGTTCTCTCTCTCTCTCTCTCTCTCTCTCTCTCTCTCTCTCTCTCTCTCTCTCTCTCTCTCTCTCTCTCTCTCGTCTCCTTCCACTTCTCCCATTCTTTCCACCCCATCACACCCCTCTGCCCTCGCCCCCTGTCTACTACACAGCCCTGGCCTGGCCCCAGCCCTCGCCATCTGCTCTCTTTATACAAGGACAACATCTGGCCAGGTGTTTGGACTCAGTGTTTGTAGGGACATGCTCTGACGGACTGGGGTCAGAGCCCACTGCAAAACAAAACAGACGAACCAACCAACAAACACACACAAAAAAATTCAATAAATCAATAAAAAAGTTAAGAACTTCCTCTGTAACTTGGGTTTCAATAATTATGGATTTTTATGAAAACTTGAAATAATAAAAAAAACTATTTCCTATAGATAGTTGGAATGCAAACTTTTGACTTCCTCATCTGTCCAGACCCCATGCCCAATCAGATCTCTCTTCTTCCTCCTCTTTTTCCTCTTTCTCCTTCATCTTCTCTCACCCTGTGAAGAGGGCCTCCCCTGGAAAAGAGGTAACAAATCCAAAGTGCATTGGTTCTCCCAAACCCTACCTCAGTCTCCACATCTGGTCTAGCCCTTTGGTTCAGAAAAAATCTTTTCTAGTCAGGCACTTTGCTAGAGGCTGATGTGGAGTCTAGGGGTTGCCTGGGAGATAAGAGTGGATTCTAGCTTGGGGATTCCACTTTATCTGCTGTGAAGACTTGGGGTAGCCTGAAGGGGAAAAGCTGCTGACCATTCAGTGCCAGGGATGAGTGGTTGCCCTATGGTTTCCCCAACGCCAAGAATTCATGAGGAAATCATGAGTCTGGGGAGCAGGGCCCTGAATCCTTGTGCTCATTGATCTAGAAGGCAGAAGCCTTGGGTTAAAGTCCCAGTTCTGCCACAGACCTACTGTGTAAACTTAGGCAAGCTGATTCTCCCTTTCTGAGCCTCAGTTAGACATCTATAAACTGGGTGTAATAAAATCTGTCCTGCCTACCTCACAGGGCTGTTGTGAGGGATAGACGAGTTAACAGAGGGAAATGCTTTCTATAAATTATAGAAAGCTAGATCGATGGGAGTTATTATCATGGATGTTATTATTGTTGTTATGGTTATTACTATCATCACCTGGTCCAGGGTGGCTCCTGTTCCGGGAATGCCCCACACGAACAAGGCAGGGAGAGCTCAGAGCTGGGGATCTCTATGTGATTCCATCTAAAGTATGATGATGCCTGGGGGTCACAAGTTACCAGGAAAGAGGGGGTGTGTGCAGAATCTCAGCAAAGAATTCGTGATTCCTAAAGGCTTCTAGTGGCTTAGTACCTTCCTGAGAGACCAAAAGTTGGAGTGGTCATTAAAATAGCCGAGCAGCCAGAGGTTCTGTGAAACCTCATCCTCAGCTTTTCCTACAACTGGAAAGGACCTCAAGGCCCCCGAAGGAATCCCCTCCATAGTCCACTCCCCAATCATCTAGCCTCTGCTTGAATATTTCCAGTGACGGGGAGCTCACTACTTGTGGAGGCAGGCCATTCCACTGTCCTAGAAATAGCTGGGGCTTCTGCTCTGCCCTATAATGACCCAGCTGGTCTCTCTGCAGTTGTGAGGAAAGTACTGACTTTGAAATCAAAAGATCTGGGTACGAATCCTAACTTTCCCATTTCCCAGCTCTGTGACCCTGGGAAAGAGCTATCTTTTTCTTGTCCTCAGTTTCTTTGTCTTCAAAATGAGGCAGCTGGACTCAATCCCCTTTACATCTGGGATCCAAGCTTTGCCCCCTAAGCCACCCTGACTTAACCTAATCCTAGCAGGCTGCTTCTCCCCTAAGGAAGTAACAGGGAAGGGAAAGCCAGATTAGACATTGAATGCAGAATGGGGGTGGGGAGAGGAGGAAGGGGATGGGGAGGCTAGAAAAAGTGGAAGGCGAAAACCTGGGACTCAGGAATGACAAGGGTGTTTCAATATCCTCCCCCACCTTTACCCTCTGATAGCAGCTGCTCTGGCTTGGGTTGAGGGGGTGGGGAGGAAGGTAGGAACAGAGAGAGAAGCTGCAGCTGGAAACTAGCCCCCAGGCCCGCAGCGGCCTTTGGAGTAATGAAGAATGAAAACTCCGCTGTCTCCCCGGAGGTGAGAGCCTCAGATGAGGCTGGTGGTAGCAGCCTGGGGAAAGGCTGGGGGTGGAGGAGAGGAAGAGTGGTGTAGACAGAGTCAGGATGTGGGGAGAGCCCAGAGCAACTGCTCACCCTGGCTGGCCACTAACCTACTCCCTGACTAGCCCCGGGGCTCCTGGCCTCCTCACCCATCTCATAGGCAGAAACTGAAGTCTGTCTATCTTTCTAAAGGACCTGAAGGGATCCTAGGCCTCCGAGGACATCAGCCCATTGGGATCAGAGGTCTAGGACCAGAAGAGATCTCAGAGGCCCCCTAGTCCAATCCCACATTTTAGAAGTGGGAAAATGAAGGCCCAATATAAATAAAACTGCCTGATAGAACATAGGTAGCAAGTGACTGAGCTAAGATTCAAACTCCAAATTCAGTATTCTTTGCATAACACAGCAACAGTTCTTTCTAGAGCTACAGTCTAGGGGCCAGGCCACAGCAAAGCATACATTCTTGAGGGTGATAAAATCGTGGGGCCTGGTTCCCGCTGAGGAGACTCACAGGAGGCCTCTATTTATAGACTTTGGAAAAATTACCTCACCTCCCTGGACCTCAGTTTCCACACTTTTAAAATGAGGAAGTCGTTTTCTGAGGTCTCTTGATCTGTGACCCTAATGGGGCTAGGGAAGTAGATATGCCTTTTCAGTAACTGGACACCCCCTAGCTGGGCTTCCCCTAGCCAGGACTCGAGGTAAACAGAATTAGAGCTTAAAATGTTGCTTGATGAGCTGAGAGATGTAGAGAACCCTATGGGTTATTTTTTTCCCTGTCCTCCATGAGATATCAGGCACCTTTGTAAGTATGGGAGTCTTTGGGGCTATTACAGAATCCTAGAATCTCAAAACTGGGAGGAACTTCATTTTGCGTATGAAGAAACTGAGAGTCAGGGAGCTTGAGTGTTTTGCCCAAAGTCTACGCAACAGCTTCCTTTGAGATAACTCAGTAATAGTAGAAAAAGCAATAGCCCTAGCATCGGAGCTGGAAAGGACCTCCATGTTCACCTTGTCCAACCCTTATCTGGGCAGGTAGGGGTCAGCATGGCAGAGGCCTGAAAAGGTTCTTAGCCTTTTTGGTGCCACAGGGCCCCATGGACCCCTTTCTCAGAACTCCTTTTTTAAATGCATAAAATAAAATATAGAGGATTACAAAGGTAACATATTGAAATAGTTTCGTGTGTGTGTGTGTGTATGTGTATGTATAAAGTTTGTGGACCCCAGGTTCAGAACCCCTGGTCTAGGATTCTCTCTAAAATATCCCAGAGGAGTGGCCTTCCAGCTCCCATTTCCCAGGAAATTCACTGCTTCCCAAGGGAGCCCTGCCTACTTTTGAACAAATCTGATTGTTAGGAAGCCTTTCCTTTCATTGTGCCAAAATCAGCAAGGCCCAGAGGAAAGAGCACTAGATTATGAGTCACAGGACCTGGGTTCAAATCCCAACTTTGCCACTGTGTGACCTTGGGCAAATCTCTGAACTTCCCAGGCTTCAGTTCAAGGGAGCTGAACTAGCTCAAGAGTTATGAGCCTATGAGTTATGACATCATGAAATATGCCTCCTGGCAACTTGTGCTTATTCAAAAGAGATTTATTAAACATCTACTGTATACAGAGCACCGTATTAAACATGATCCATTCCCTCATGGAGCTTACAGCCCGGGAGGGAAAAAAAAAACATCTATCCAACTATAATGTGTGAAGTACAAAATAAAGCACGTGTGGGGCCTGACAGAGTCTCCTTTGTTTCTGGTTCTGCTCTCTGGAGGCAAGACCAATTCCTCTTCCATGTGACAGCCCTTTAAAATACTTGAAGATCACTCTAATGGCTTACACTCCAACCTGCCTCCATGAAAGCCCTCTGTTGCAGGCTTCTATGCATACAAATGAATCATGTCTTAATTTTCCTCTCTGCTGTGTCACACCATTGATTTATACTGTGCTACTGTCCACTCAAATTCTCGTCATTTTCAAAAGAATATGACATGATTCCCAAAGCATGTGCTTGCGTAACTGATTTCTTTGGCCTACATTGAAAACTTTACATTGATTCTTACTAACTTTCATCTTTTAAGACTGAGCTGATCACTACAGCTGGCCAGGATCTTTTTGGAACCTAAGGCTCGAATCCAATATGTTCCTTGTCTCTTACAAATTTGGGACTTAAAAATATAATAAGCAATCCATTTCTGTCTTCATCCAGATTATTGATAAAAATGTTGAACAGAACATGGATAGTGCCCTGTGGCCTCCAATAGAGTCTTCCCTCCATGTTGACATTAATTACATCTGCTTAGATTCATTTATGCAGTCAGCCTCAAATCCACCTGTCTTCCATTTTGTCTACAAGGCTAGTATAAGAAAAGGCCTATGTCAAATGTCTTGCATCAGGAATCACACAACCTGAATTCAGACAGTCTCCTGCCACTTACTATGTGATCCCTAATAAGTTAATTAAACTCTTTGGGTCCATTTATTTTTCTGCAAAATGGAGAATTTAGGACTAGAAGGAGTTTCTGGGCCTAAATCCTATCAACAGTGGCTTAGAAGCAAATTTTGGCTGGATGTACAGAAAAATTCACTAACAGGATTGACCAAAAGTAGAATCAGCTGCGTTGGGAGGTAATGAGCTCCCCATCCCCAGTGGAGATCTTTGAGCAAAAGATGAATGACCAACCCCTTGTGACACATGTAGTAGGCTTCAAGGACCAATGGCACATAGTTCCTTCTAACTCCCGAGTTCTTGGATTTTTTAAATCTAGGTCTCTTGCATTTATAACAATGAATTCCCAATCTCTGAGAATGGGAGACATTTTCTTAACATCAAAAAATTTCTTGGACCCCCTTACACAACAGTCATGGCAATCCTATTAGCATTCATTGCATCAAGCCTAATTTACTGAGAAAATACAGGATGAAAAAAAGCTGCTATGAATTCAGTGGCATTTTAAAATTAATTTTAATTTTATTAATCCCAACAGCATCTACATTCACTTGAAAAGTCATTATACATATATGTGAGACATTATTTATTCAGCTTTCTGAAGGTGTGCTTGCTTATTTCCAAATCCAAATCCAGATTGAAGAGCCCCTTACGATAACCCCACAGCCCCACTCTCCCCCAACCCTGGGGGTTCAAGTCTGTGTCTCTAGAATTCCTTGTTACATTATAGGTTCTCCCTCTGACAGCCTCACTCTCCAGCTTCCCTTTCTCTAGACTCCAGACCCCATCCCTCTGTGACCTTGGCC